TCAAAAAATATAAATGACTTAGGAATAAGTCTAACCAAAGATGAGGAAGACCTGCACACTGAAAACTAAACAAAATATTGCTAGGAGAATTGAAGAAGACTTAAATAAGTAGATGGTTATACTTTTTTCATGAGTGATAAGACAATATTGTTAAGGTGTTTATTCTCTGAAAATTGACCTATAGATTCAATAGAATACCAATGAAGATCCCACCCAACTTTTTTGTAGAAATTGACATCTGGTTCTCAAATTCACATAGCATGCAAAGGACCTAGAATAGCCAAAAACAACCTTGAAAAGAACAACAAAGTTGGAAGGCTAACACTGATTTCAAGACATGTTATAAAGCTACAGTAATCAAGTCAGTGTGATACTGGTGTCAAGATAAACAACTAGATTAACAGATACTTTTTCTGAACACAGAAAAGTATCCATTAAATTTGGTGACAGGTGGAGTCATAGTTGATCTTGTCCAGATAATATTTGATAGAATGAGGGGATGAGACACCATGTTTCAGTAGACCAAGAGGTGAGTGAAGAATTCCTGGACAGTATGGAAGAGTGAGCTTATGTAGAAATCCCCTACTTTCTCTGTCCTCAACACAGAGAGGTTTGTTTTTAAATTTTTTAAACATCAACTCTATGGATCTAAACAAAATGGAACACACAATAGCAAGTGGGGTTGAAGTGCTGGCCTACCAGGCTCCAGGATCAAAAGCAGGTGGTATTGGCTGACTTTCAACTCCTGCAGGAGGATATGGACAGGAAGACCCTGGTGAGTGTCACGTGCACTGGTTCAAAGAGCTGCAGCCTCTTCCTGGGGAATGGTCAGTGCTGAGCCACTGCCTGGGTCTTGGAGGGAATAGAGAGTCCCACCTGGGCACAGAGCTGAGTTTGGCTCTGGCCTGAGGACTAGATCTGCACCGTCCCTGCAGGACCGGAGCTCAAACCGTCCTCCTACACCTGGTTCTAAGAGGAGGTCCCAGAGAGCCATGCAGAAGCAGTGATAGAACTGCCAGACCCGGAGAGGTGAGCAAGGAGAGGAAACCACAGCAGTAAGACACTTACACCCAAGATGAGCTTGCACACTAAAATCTCAGAGCACAGGGGGAGAACTAACACATAAAAGAGAGCAATAAAGTGAAGAAATGGGAGAGAAATGAGAGAGATCTGAAAAAGCCTTTGCTGTCAGTATATTTAAGATCTCTAAGAGGAAGAAGAAAGAATAACACCCACCACCCCCTAAGAAAAGAAAGAAAATCAGGGTCTTATGAAGAAAAAAATAACAGATAGATAGCTATGAGTCAGAAACCGCTGGATATAAAAAAGAACCAACTTGAAGTTTTGGAAAGAGAAAAATATATTTATTTAAATACAGATCCTCCATGGGTGACATAAACTCTATACTGGACACAGTTGAGGATGGAATTAGTGACACTGGAAAGCCATACAAAGGAATTTATCCAGAACACAGAGCCAAGATGAAAACTGCAAGGAAAGCAAATATAGGTCATACAGAGAAATGAGTGAAAAGAAAGAGCCAGTGTAGACACTTTCAAGAATATTAAGCAGAAAGAAAAGCAAGAAAAGCAGGTACTAGCTAGAGGAACACAGGGTAGAGGAGGAGGCCTGTTGTTTACCTGGGAGAGACTTGACTTGGTTAGTAAACCATGGAGGAAAGCCAATAGAGGAGTTGAATGCAGGAGAGAAGGGGATGAGCCAGGGGAAAGGATTGAGATGAAGGTGAAGGGGTTAACTGGTGAGATCCTATATCCTGCAGACCGGAGGGAGGGTGGGTCTGGATGTGGGTGAGTTGAGAGAGAGGTTGGCCTGAAGTTGTGGGAGTTGCCAGTGTTCATTTCATCCATGAAGTGGGAAGTGATAGACTTGGGAATAAGGAAGGGACAAAATTGATGATAAAGTAAGTCATTTATTCATTTAACTACTCATTATAAAGCACCCACTGGGTGCCAGGAAAGTTTCTAGGTCCTGGAGATAGAACAGTGGACTGAGTGAGGGCTCATGGGATCAGGGACCAGAGTTACTGAAGCATGCTGAAGGTTTACAGAGGAGAGGAAAGGGGGACCAGAGACTGGGCAGTCATAGCGTTTTCTCACACAGCCTGCATCTGTCAAGAAGATTCTTTGGCATTGCTAACTAGTAGGATCACTAGCGGGTTGTAGGCTAGGTCAGCACAAGGTTGGGTGACACAGGGTGGGTGAAATGGAGGATCACACCTACTGAAGGCCACTGGAACCCCAAATTCTTCCACCAGCCAGTGCCAGGAGTCATGCTTCTCTTTCTCCTGGGTATGTCTTTCTTCCCCGGTCGTTCAGTTCTGTGAAGTCTGCAGAGATGTTGTAGCTGATGTTCTCTTTCCTCAAAGACTGGTTCATTCATTCAAAAAGTTTATGAAGCACTCGCTACATGGCGAGCACTGTTCCTGCTGTTTGGAATTTGTTAGTGAATTACACAGCAGCTGTTCCCGCACCTGCCCCCCACCCCCACCAGAGCTCACCCTGTGGGGTGGGGACACAGACATGAACAATCGATACATAACACACAGACCACTAAAGGAGATGAGTGCCTTGGGAGAAAAGGAAAGTGAGAGCAGGCCAGGGGGGCTGAGCCCCCCAAAGGCGGGTGGCTTGCTCGGGGGTTGGTTAGGGCAGGCCTCTCTGAGAATGCAGCTGAGCTGACTGGAGGCAGCCCGGGTCCTGCCGGGCAGCTCTCTGGGGGAAGAGCAGTCCGCGACAGACTGTCCGGCCCCAAGTCCCTGAGGTGAGAGCACCTGCATGTGTGAGCGCAGCCAGGGCCAGAGTGGGTGAGGGGAGAGGTTAGGAGATGACATCAGAGAGCTTGCGTGGCAGACAGGCTTAGAACTTTCGGGAACACACTCTTTTGCGTCCAGTTTAGCAGAGTGATGTGGCAGTCACGTGGAAGCTGGCCAGAGGTGGGGGTGAGCTGGGTGGGGCCCGCAGGAGGAACCTGGAGCAGCCCTGCAGACTGAGTTCTGGGCCCGAGTGTGACTGCCCTTCCCTAGCTGAGCCGTCACTTCCATTCCAGGGGCCGGTGGGTTGGGGTGAAGGAGAGTGCAGACAGCAGGGAAGAGGGAGATAAATGGCCCATCTGAGTCACGAGTCGCCTCGGGGTGATTAAATGACCCCACTGGCTTCATCTATCTGCAGAATGGACCTGGTCTTCCTTTTGAAATGTGGAGCCACATTGAGTGAGGATCCAAACCCCTCCCAAACCCTGAATAGTTTTTTAAATATCTTTCTTTTTTTTTTTTTTGGTGAGGAAGATCAGGCCTGAGCTAACATCCATGCTAATCCTCGTCTTTTTGCTGGGGAAGACCGGCTCTGAGCTAACATCCATTGCCTAATCCTCCTCCTTTTTTTCCCCCAAAGCCCCAGTAGATAGTTGTACGTCATAGTTGCACATCCTTCTAGTTGCTGTATGTGGGACGCGGCCTGAGCATGGCCGGAGAAGTGGTGCGTCGGTGCGCGCCCGGGATCCGAACCCGGGCCGCCAGCAGCGGAGCGCGCGCACTTAACCGCTAAGCCACGGGGCCGGCCCCTGAATAGTTTTTTTAAAACCATAAATCAGCCTTTATATATTTCACCTCCTGGAAACAAGGACACAGCCTGAGTCTCAGAGAACCCACGATCACATAATTAGATCTCAAAGCTCTTCCCACAGCCTGCCAAAAGGAAGGAGGCCTAGCTCGCAGGTGGAGGGAGTTACTTCACTGCCTGGGAGAAGCTGTTAGGATTTATGACTACATTATCTATTCAAGGCGTATTTGGGGGCTGAGGTATTGTTTTATTGCATGAACTTTTTGTGTCTTGCTGAAGCCACGAATTCTGGTGGTAGAAAATAGCAACAGCGTGATGTAATTTTCCTCTGACGTAACAATGCGAACATGGCTGTATCTGGGTTGCCTGGTGTGGATCGGACACGGTGTGAAGTGCTGTCTGCTGCCCCCACCTGTGTCTCTCCTTTTGGGTCAGAGCAGCCCAGGCTGCGAGTCACTGTCCCTCCCGTGTGGCTCATCCTCTCCCCCTATTTTTTTCATCTGTAATTAGTAAGGAGACAGTTCTTCAAAATTTCTAACACAAGGTATGGCAGGATTAATTTTAATATGGCGCTGTTTAGAGAGAACTTTATCTTTTCAAATGGCCGAGTTTTACAAGTGTTGTGCCTTTAGACTCCTGACGTCCTCAGGGAGCGTTTTTGCAGGGCAAGAGGGCGGGTTCAGAGTTGTGAGGCTCCTGCTCAATAAATCCAGAAACTCTGTCCCTTCACGTGCAAGCAGGACAACGCCCGCAGGCAGATCGCAGTGGGAGCAGCGCTGGGCTTCACCCCGAGGCTGCAGTGGGGAGAAAGGCCCCTGCTTTCTTCCTGTGATGGATCGTCCCCAGCTAAAGCAGGCTCACACGCTCGGCCCTGGCTCAGCCGCATCAGGTACCAAGAGTGAGAAGCAAGGACTGGGTGGGCCATCACAGTTCTGGAGTCAAAACTGACCAGAGTTGAGCTGTAGAAAATGATCACCTTACAGGCAGTGGGGTCTAATAATTCAGGGCATCTGGAGGCTTCTTCAAGATTCTTTCACGGGCTTTACTTTTATGAACATTCCAACAAAGGTGTTTTTAAAAATCTTCTGAGTGTGTTAGTTCATCACAGCAGAGAAAACCAGTTCAAAGACTTCACGGAGCACTGAGAACGTGCCCGCACTCACTGCCAGCTTGGAGAAGGCATTTTGGCTGCTCCTGAGGGAGGGCTGTTTTGTGTGGTGGCAGGGCTTTGGGAAGAAAGGAATGCCTTTTCAGGACTGCTCGGCTTTAGTCTCTCGCCCTGTGAAGTGTGGCCGGTCTGGAGAGACTTCAGAGCCAGGCTGTGGGCACTAGGAGGACGAGGCCGAGGAAAGAGTCCGTTGCAATTGCACTGCAGGTTGCAAACTAACCTTTCAACCCTCTCTCTCTCACCCCCTGCTCCAGCTGCCCACTCGTCAGCTCAGGCTCAGGACCGACCGACGGCCACAGTGTCACCCCTGCGCACACAGAACTCTCCGTCCCACCTGCCCGCCGCCAGCCTCAGGCCCCACTCTGTGGTGTCCCCACAGCACATCCACCAGCCCCAGATGCAGACGGTCCTCGGGGCCCAGTGCCCCCGGCCAGCCATCCCCCTCACGTCAGCAGCATCGGCCATCACACCTCCCAACGTCACTGCTGCCAACATCAACGGGGAGGCTGGAGTGGGGCCCGTCGGTGGCCTGTCAACATCTGGCCCTGCCAACATGGGACACAAACCAGACGAGAAGAAAAGTGAAAAGGTAAGTGGCCCGTCCTGGGCGAGCCCTGGCCCTGGCGCCGCTGGTTACTGTAACTCTTTGGCACCAGATCCCAAAGACGTTTTGTACAATTAAGACTTGAATGTGGGCACCGAGGCCCTGCCCTCAGAGGCACCAGGCACGCGGCAGAGATCGGGGGTCAAACCAGCACAGCCGCTGGTCCTGGATGTGGAATTCAAGCGGGTCTCAGGTCAGGTAGGGCTGACAGGGGCCCAGCTGCATTTTCATGGAAATCAGAAAACCGGTATCTCCTGCCCAAGACACTCTAGTGCCGTCCATTGGAAAATCATTGTAATACACTCATTTTGTCAAAAGAAGATACTTACTGCCATGTGCCAGGATATTATAATAATAAGTACACAAATCTGCTTATATGCAGTGTGAACAGCACCCCTCCCTTCAATGTATCCTCCTGGTGCAGTCCACAACCTGCCCAACCACCTGAGACAGGCCGCTCTCTGAGGAGAAGCGAGAGGAGGATGGCGCCAGATGGTTTCCTTCACTTCCTGTGAAGGAAAGTGGGCTTGTTTCACAAAAGAAATCTGAGTCCAGTGTACTTGCCTCAGTTGCCACCCACCTACACATTGGATTAGCCAGGATTCAATCCAGATTTCTAAATCAGTGCTGTCCAATAAAACTATAGTTCAAGCCATGTATCTAATTTAAAATTTTCCAGTAGCCACGTTTTTAAAAAGTTAAGATAGTTTAAAAATAAAATTAAGAGATAAAATTCATTTTAATGGCATAATCTAGTAAACCCAATATCCAAAATATTATAATTTCTACATGTAATCTATGTAAAAAATGTGTTGATGAGATGTCTCCCCTTTTGTCATATTCAGTCTGACAGCAGTGTGGAGTCCCATGAGACATCCTCAGGGCTCAGGGGCCTGTGCGCTGTCCTCGGCTACACTGGGCAGTGTGGGCCAAGACCTTCAGCAGGGAACCCCTCTCTTTATCGGCCATGCTGTATGAACGGTTGATGCTCATTCTCTCTTAGCTTTACTACATTTTGTGGATCTTTTAAAACCTTTCTATATAAAGCCAGTCTTGAGTAGAGCATGCTAGCCAGGGTTTGGATAGGACCCTCAATACTAGATGCAGTATTCAAAGTGAGGACAGCCTCTCTTGTTCCTTGGGGACAATACCAAAACCAGCATTGCCAATTCAGGCCATCACCCTAGGATCCCCTGGAGGCATGCCCACCCAATCACTACCCCGTGATCTGCAGGAGCCCAGGTCCCTCACACCCCGTGCTCCGCAGGAGCCCATGTCCCTCACAGAGATGCACACCCAGCCTCCTCAGGGCCTCCGGATCCATGCTCAGGCCTTCTCACCACCCGTCTCGTCTGGTCCAGAGGAATGTTATTCCCAGCTCACTGGTATGGAAGAGGCCTCTGTCACAGCCACTACTGCTGCACTCTCAGCCAGCAAAGCTCATCTCCTTGAGACCAGTGGGGCACCTGGGCATGACATGAGATGGCTGCTCTGCACGTTGTGTCCATGCCTGCTTGAAAATCACAAAGTCTTGATCTGCTCCTTGCCACCTTACAGCCTTGTTAGGAGACGAGCTGGGTCTCGTCAGGAGGCAGAGGTGGGGTTTGGGCCCACCCTCTTACTTGGACATCCTTCCTGGAAGACAGATCACCTAGGCCTCCGAGCTGCTAAGAAAAAAACAGGGGGATGGGCTTGGAGAGAGAAGAGCTGTGTTAGCTCTATAAACATTTCTGGTTCTTTGCCAAAAAACTCCCTCTGTCTTTGTGGAACAGACAGGGCTGGCTTCAACAGGGCTGCTGCTGAGCAGAGTCAGGCTGGCAGGACTCTACATGGGGAGCGATACTGGTCACTGTCTCTGCCCTCACATGTGTGTCGCTAACGACACCAGCGCTGGGCGGCTCTCAACATCTGCCTGGTAGACGCTTAGCAGGTATTTTGCTTTCACTCAAGGCTTACACTCTGCTAACAGTTCTCTTCCCTCAGCAAGGAACAGCTGAGTCCAGTGGACCCCCGAAAGGTCCCCCTTGGTGAAAGGTACCTGGAAGGAAGCCCTACTCCCAGACGGAAAGCAGCAGATGTGTCAGCTTCGCTCTGACCTCTCCCCAAGTCGGGCCTGGCGGTGGACACACACAGTCCAAACCAGCCTGTACCCACACTGCTCTCGCACGGGGAGCCGTCCGTGCTGTGGTCCCAGGGAGGAAGTGAAGTGGACTTCGTGGGATGGAGTCAGCATGTGTCCATAGGTACAGCAGCCATCGTCAGTGTCAAAGCCCAGAAGAGAAGTGTATCTCCTTCCACATGTTACGTGTGGTTTTCCTTTCTCACCTCTCAAACAAAGCAAAATACAAAGCACTACTCTGAAAAAGCACCTGTTAATGTTCCCCTCTGTATCCCCAGTTGAAGTTTTCCTCCTTTGGAGTAAGGTGCGGAGCGTCCACAGTTGCCGTTTCTAGGAGAGGAGCAGACGCTGGCTGCTGGGGTGAACTGGGTGCTGGGCTCCGAGCCTGCAGTGCTCTGGCAGGACCCTGCTGCCTCCCCTTGCCCCCACCATGACCACAGCTCAACACATTTGACCAACTTTGAGAACAGAGCTATCGGCTTCAAATCTGTTTCTGGGTAACCCCATCGTAGATGTGCACATGTCTGATTACAGTGAAAGGATTTTTTAAAGTAATTGGCAGTATTCTCTGGGCTGTTGCTGTTATTGAATTTTCCTCGAGGAAAGACAGTGCGCTCCCCCGTCCACAGAGACAGGGACCTCAGCGTCTGCCGGTTTTCATGGTGCCGAGCTCTGCTGAAATGTGCACGAGAGAGAGCCGTAACTGATGGGGCCCCCGGCGCCGAGGTAGGCTAGGGGTGGCTCTCTCTCAGGAGCCTGGGAGATTTATGCCCCAGCGTCCCTTCTCCCCTGGAGAAGGAAGAGGCCCAACCCAGCTTGTGCGTCAGCCGCAGTGGTGGTGACCCTGGGAGGCTGGTCCTCTTCTGCTGGCCTGTGGGATTGGGCCTTTCCGCCCTGCTCCAGGCAGGCCCCGCCTCTTGGCCCTGCGTGACCCAGTGTTGGGCAGGGGAGGCCTGTGGAAAGACACGGTGCTGGCAGAGTGGGGATTCTTCCTGTAGACTGGGTCCTGAGCCAGAGCTCTGCTCTGGGCCCCTGGCTTCTGCCAGGGTGCAGCCGCCCCCCGCCACCGAGCATCAGGCTGCTCACCTTCCTGCCCCGGGCCGGCCGCCAGCTCCCCACAGCTCCACCTCCTGCCGAGTGGTGCACAGTCCAGCAGTGTGCCCGCGGGCCCTCACCCTGCCAGCCGCAGTGACAAAGACGGGGAACGCCGGGGGTCTGTAGCCACAGAAGGCTCAGCCCTGGCCTGGAGGAACGCAGACTCCAGTACAGGGACAGGGACAGAGGCTTCCTGGGGGCTTCAGCCTGACAGCTGGGAGGCAGCAGGTGACCCTGGAAGGGCCTCATTATCCGCCTCGCTGTTCAGCGATTTGAGTGGCCTGGCGCTGGGCAGAAGGGTGGAACTCAAGGCCTAATGGAAGGGCGTTGCTGTGCCCCTCCCCTGCTCTGAGTCCCCGGTGCCTCGCTGTCTTGCTCTCTGTCTTGCAGGGAACTGTCCCCTCGGAGGGTTCTCCTGCTGGTGCCTACCTGCACCTCCTGCTCCCCTGGTGAGCGTGCTCACGGGGCATGTGCCCTTTCCTGTGATCTCGACAGCTGCATCTTTCAAACCACGTGTTTGAAAATGACCCATTCATGAGGCACGAAACCAATTTAGTGTATTTGGACCAACATTTTTATTTAGATCCAATAGGCTGCATAGACTGGAATAGATCAGCATGCACAGCACACAGTAGGGGTCAGTATATTTGGTGGAAATGGTGGTGGTTGTTGCATGTGCTGTGTCCTGATATAAAACTTATTTCAAAAAAGCCCCCGAGCCCTGCCTGACAGGCCCTGAGGAGTGCCTTGCTCTCAGAAGGCATCTGTGGGTGTCTGGCAGAGAGCTGGGACTGCTGCTGGTGAGTGCTCACTCCCATGACGTGGGAGAAATCCTGGACGTGATGGGCCAGAAGAAAGGTAACTTTCTGCTTATGGGTGAGCTAGTTTCAGTTTCACAGAATAATGGAATATTGGAACTGGAAAGAACCTCTGATGATCTTTCCATTAAACTGTTTATTTTCGATGGTGCTCCTGAGGCTCAGAGATGCTGAAAGACTTGCCTGGGTCACACAGCACTGTGTGGAGCCAGCATAAGAACTCTGGTCCCCAACTCCTATGTCAGTGCTATCTTGGCTCCAGTGTGCTGACTTGTGGTGGCCTCCCAGTCCCTGTGAGGCCGTCGCCTGGTGTTTTTGGCTTGACCAGGAGTTCTGCAGTGAGAAGTCTGGGTAGCTGCTGGCAGGAGGCTGTGAGGGCAGCCCAGGAGAGGGGAGTGTGAGCCGAGGTGTCTGCTTTCTGGCTCTACTTTGGCCTCAGTTGGAGCCGGAGCCCATGTGGTAGTGAACCACATGACCAAATCCACATGGATGGTGTGGCCTTGATGACTAAGGCTTTGGGGAGCAGGAGAGCTGGCAGGAGGCGCACAGCAACAGCAAGGAGGCCTGGCCTGTGGCGGGGACCCCTGGGAAGTGTGTCTGCAGGTGAATTTGTTCTTTACTGTCTACACTCCACCCGTTTAAAAGTATGTGTATATATGGTAGTTGATAAAAGGGCACCTATTAATAGGGTTACAATTATATTTTTAATGAAAACAGGAATGTGCAATCTAAAGAGACCTTGAGGAGGAAGCTCTTTTCTGAGGGAAGAATCCCCGGTTTGTGATGTCTTTCCCTCCCACTGGGGCTGCCTGTAGTAACCAAGCCTTTGCGTGTGCTGTTTCTAAAATGTGGACTGGGAAGGGGGCTGCTGTAGGCTCTGTAACCAACATCTCCGTTGCTGCCAGTGCGTCCCCAGTTTAGGGACAGGCAGGCGTGTTCCTGCCATCACAATGAGCTGGGTGCGCCCCACCTGCCCAGCCGGCGGTGGGGAGTGTCCTGCTGTGTCTTCTCACAATGAGCTGGGTGCGCCCCACCCGCCCAGCCGGCGGTGGGGAGTGTCCTGCTGTGTCTTCGTGGACTCGCAGACAGTAAATCAGAGATGGGAGTGGGCTGGGTCTGACCTTGCCAGAGCTGAATTCCACCGCAGGCCTGACCCTCACACTGATCTCGAGGAGTCTTGCCCTGGCCTGCTTGTGGGTGAGGCCCAACCATGCAGAGACCCTCAGACCGGTGCTGTGTCTCAGGTGCGGCCTCAGCGGAAGAGGGTGACGCATGAAGCATCGCTGAGCCCACAGGCCCAAGTGGCACATCCCTGTGGGCTTAGGGAGCCCCCTCTGCCCTGCAAGTGAGTCACAGAGGACTCCAGTGGGCAGCTGGTCAGTTGTGGTCTGTGGATACCCGCTTCCTCCCAGGGACGCTCGTGCTGGGCAGCTCTGCCTGCCCCTGGCACGAGGGTTGGCACTCTGGTGGGCAGAGGTCCCCCTTCTGACTGCCGGGGGCTTCTGGGAGCCCCAGGGACTTCAGACCTTCTGCTCAGCTCCCTTTAGGTGGACTGCCTTCTGTGGGTGAAGGAAGCTGGCACTGGACTGATGAGTAATTTTCAGGATGAAAATGAACCCATCCTGCAAGCACAAATCCCAGCTGTTGAAACCACAGCATTCTGAAGTTCTACAGGAAACTTACTTTTAGATGGGGGCATGCTGCGGGAGCGTCACGTCCCTGTGATGGGGCAGCAGCTTCTTCCTCAAGCCCCTCAGGGCACAGACCTCCGAGTGGGGCAGGATGGTGGCCCCACCCTGGTCTGCAGGGAGCTCAGAGGTGGCCTGGAGACCTTCTCTTGGCATTTGCCCCCCCGCCCCAACAAGAAGGTGCCACAAGGCCAGGCCGTCCCCCAGTTTTTCTCCAGCCTCTGTCCTGGGATGAGACTGCTGGATCTCGGCTTGGCAGAGTGAGTGCTGGTGACCCTTTCAAGGTCAAATGTGGATGTGGAGGTCCAGAGAGCAAGGTGACCTGCCCAAGGCCCTGCAGCTGGTAATCACTGGGAATAAAAACTCGCCTTGCTGCTCAGGGGAGTGTCCGCTCCCTCTGCTCTGCTCCTATTTCCCAACTTTTCCTACTGGGTCACCCGCGGCCCATCCTCTGAGCATTCAGGGTGTGGCTGGGGATGAAGAGAGGAAGCAGGAGCCAGATTACTTCAAAAATGAGTGAAATTTGTCTTTGGTGAAGAAGGCACAAATGGACTAATTAGACAGAGGGTGGGTCTGGGGTGGGGCTGCCTGGGGTAGATCAGGGCTCTTCTGTTGACTGACCGTGTGACTTCGGACAAGCTCTTTTGCCTTCCTATGCCTCACTTTCCTCATCTGTAAAACAAGGATGGCAGCATCTACACCCTGAGTTTTGGGGAGGAGTAAATTAGTTAATCTCGTCAATGCTTAGCATAGGATTTGGAACAAAAATATTAGAAATCATTCTTAAGAATTTGATATTCATTGAAGACCAGATACCATAAGAATTATGAGATAGATGCAGATGTAAAACTTATATTCCTGGGGCTTCTAATGAAAGATTAAAAGGAGATTGATTTTGTAGTTTGATAGAAAAAGACACCTGACATTGCCAAATTGAGACATGTAGGCTACTCAAAAATGAACCCGAATTGGCTGGTGTTCTCTATTTGCGAAATGATATTTATTCATCTCCTCAACCACTGGAGCTTCCCTTTCCTAGTTCATTTTTTCTATGCCCACCAAGAAACACGGATATAAAGAGTTTGTTTAAGGTGTCAGTTTCATACCTGACATTTAGCCTAAGTGATGTGTGGAGCCCAGGAGAACTATTTTAGTCAGAAGTTGTGTTTCAACTGCAAAGCGTTAAACCAAAATTATTTTTTTTAAATAATAATAAACTCTAGAAATGGAAAAGAATTTGTGAATCAGCTGTAACAGCTGTGGGGGTTCTGTAACCCTTCCCAGAAGGCAGAGTTTACCATAACTAGTCAGGATTGTTGGGGAATTTTGCACTCTTCTGACACAAGACCTAACGCTCCGGGATAGCCGAGAGATGAATATGATAGCGTGGCTTGTGAGGTAGAAAGTACACATTCAAGTGGCATTCGGGTGGCTATGAGCCACTGAGCACACTTGATTCCCACATCAAGTTTGAATTCTGTTCTGCAAAATTCTACCACTGTTACCACCTTCCTTTTCGATTAACATGTCCTCACGTTGCTCGTAAAGACGTGGGATATTGTTTGGTCTTCAATGCCCAGATCTCAGCTGATGGAATCAGTGCAAAAGAAAAACATATACAGACACCCCGTAAACCACACCAGGAGATAATGCCTACAGAGTGGACCCAACAGGCTGCCCTTCCCAGAAAGCAGACATGTCAGCATGATGGGGCATCTCTAATGTTCTAGAGAACTCGTAAGTGCTTTTCCGTTTTGTCCCATAGCTGAGGGCAGTGCTGAGAAGAGCAGAGTGCTGGTGTCGTCGTTTGGTTTGTTATGGTTTTATTGAACACACAGACCGTGCTGGAGGCCAGGGGCATTCTGTCCCCTCAGCGGGGGAAGACAGCTTTACACTGTCATCTCCTCGTGGTGAAGTCACTCTTGGGCAGACTTGATTTTCATTTGCCTGATATTTTATGTGCTTAGTAATTCCTTCCAGGCCACATCTAAATAAATTACACGACATATTTACATATTGCATGAGAATAAAGTTCATTAATCTTTTTAGAGGAGTCATGCTCTTTCTATCCACATCTCAAGTAGAACTAATGGGTCAGTGTAATGAAAATGTTCCTGTTTTACAATTTCTTTGTAAGATTAGCAGTAATGGCTAGATTTCTGGCTTGTATCAACTGCCTTCTGACTCTTACTTGTTCTCTCCTTCACTTTATATCATCTTAGACCCGTCTCTTAGACTTCAGTTTGTTTAATACTAAGATGGGAACACAGGCACACCTCGGAGATGTTGCAGGTTCAGTTCCAGGTCACTGCAGTAAAGCAAACATCGCAATAAAGTGAGTCACGTGAGCTTTTTGGTTTCCCAGTGCCTATAAAAGTAGTGTAAACACTGTACTGTAGTTGATTAAGTATCAATAGTGTTATGTCTAAAAAAACAATGCTTTCATTAATGCTTTCGTTAAAATACTTTATTGCTAAAAAATGCTAACCATCATCTGAGCCTTCAGCGAATCATCGTCTTTTTGCTGGTGGAGGGTCTCGCCTCCATGTTGATGGCTGCTGACTGATCAGGGTGCTGGTTGCTGAAGGTGGGGGGCTGTGGCAATTTCTTAAAATAAGACAACGATGAAGTTTGCCGCATCGATTGACTCTTCCTTTCGCGAATGATTTCTCTGTAGCGTGCAATGCTGTTTGATAGCATTTTACCTACAGTAGAACTTCTTTCAAAATTGGAGTCAGTCTTCTCAAACCCTGCCACTGCTTTATCAACTAAGTTTATGCAATATTCTAAATCCTTTGTTGTCATTTCAACAATCTTCACAGCATCTTCACCCAGAATAGATTCCATCTCAAGAAACCACTTTCTTGGCTCATCCATAAGAAGCAACTCCTCAACCATGAAAGTTTTATCCTGAGATTGCAGCAATTCAGTCACATCTTCAGGCTCA